ATGAATATGACCGAGCTTCCACTGAACCTTCAGGTGTGACTGATTGATTTGTGGGGGAAAATGGGAGGCTTGAGTTGCTTAGTACGACTGAAAAATTATTATGGAGCAAGCACAGGGATTTGTTTGAAGAAAAAGTGGATACCTTTACTAATTAATTCCCTTTTTGTATAAAGAGGGCCCTGACAGAGGAGAAATAGTTGTTTCACACAAGGGCTGGGTGTTTCCCAGATTCACTCTCAAGCAATGTTTAAGTAATTTGTTGATATCTGTGAGTTGCCAGCACTGTTGTTTGTGCTATGAGTTTTTGCTTTACTTCCCCCTCCTCCCTTTTTTTCTTTTTTAAATTAAATGCTCCATTTCCTGCAGTTGAATTGTATGTGTTAAAACCAAATACAATCTAACTCTGCTAAGACTGGGAAAGGGGGGAGGAATTAAAACATTTTAGCTGTCTCTATCCTGAAGACAAATTAGGAATAAATCAAAATACTGTCAAATATGAAATGACTTGTGGTTTAGCCTTGTATAATTGTTTGTATGCCTCATTGTATTTGGTGATGATTGTATGATTGAATTTTGTGTTGATTGCATGATTGTATTTTGGTGGTTTAAAATGATGTCTGAAGAGGAGAGCAGGAAAATGATTAACATTCAAACGCAGACTGGATTTCTAGGGTGATGTGTTAATACCAATACATCCCTCTTGCCACTGACATGAAGTGTACATAACTGAACCAGTTCCTCTCATCTATCTGATGGATTGTTGCCTTAAGAGTAAGGTTAAGTTTTCTGTTGCATTAAGAGGAAGGAGATTTGGCACAAAATAACCCCCTTTCAGTCCAGCTGGATCTCAGGTATCACAGGGACTGGGGACAGATGAGTGGTAGCCAATTCAGCTCAAAGCATCAGAAATGCAGAGCCAATGTGTCTCTGCAAGTCCAGGTGTGCTCAGTAAGAAGCATCGTGGTTACAAATGCATGAACACTGCAATTCACCGTAAGTCTGGTTGTGCCCAAAGAGCTTTCGCAGCCAGATCTGAAGTCTGGTGGCATTCAGTAACTCTCATGGCAAGTACAAGGTAGTATCATTTATTGAGCAACGAAATGCAGGTTGTTCCTGGATTGCTGGTAATAAATACATCATCTGAGAATCATGTGTGAATACACAAAATATGAATAATGCAGCTGGTGACAAAGACATTCCATTGCTAAATGGCTCTATAGGGCTAAATTATGCAAGATTGCTTTTTAAATTTCCCAAAAAAGGACTCAGTATAGCTGAGTGCTCAAATCCTACTTCTTAGGCATTCTCAAAGGTGGAGTCTCCTTTAGCCTCCTGCCCCACTTAAGCTATATTGTTTTCTTTGAGGGAAAGGAAAAAGGGAAAACTTAAAGTTGATGTCATTCCATGTTTAAGTGTAGTTTGAGAGACTACAGTCATACATGTAAAGCATGTACAGGTTTTAGTCCATTAGCATGTGCAGAGGCATGAAAAGTGATATGTATTTTGAGTTAGGAAGCAAAGGTCAGCTTTTGCTCACCATTTGGGTCATTCCTTTGGCTTAGTTGCTGTTAGCTGCACAGTCTTAAACAGGGCATGACCACAACACCTCTGTGCTGCTCCACCCTTTGTTTCATGCCTCTCTTAGAGGGATACATCAAGCTCCTGCAGTGTTTGTGCTCCTAAGGTGTGCAGCATTTTGTTCCTGGTGACCTACAGCCAACGCATATGCTCCTTCTCACTGAACTTTGTTTTTCATTTTTACCCACACAGATTAAAGAAATATGACCCCCTAACCTCACAGTCCCCATTTTTTTTCCTTCAACCCATCTTTCAAGGCATTGTAAAATGCTTTCTTTGGTTACGGAAGCAGAGGGATTAGACAAGGCCAGGGTTTCCTATAAAACCAAGGATGAATTCACCTGGGAAACAAAATTTATTTGAGAACACATTGATCTTGTATATTTATCACGTAGTCTGATAATACAGGTAAAATAAAGGGGAAAACCCATTTAATCAGCTTTGAGCATTTAAATCAAAGGTATTTATTTTTCTTGGAATGTGCTGTGTTTTCTGACTTGAAAATGCAAACACCATTGCCAAACACTAGCAGAAAGCTATGAAGGCAGCAGGTTTGTTTTCTATTTGTCATCTGAATTTCATACTACCAAGCCAGAATAAATCCTTCTGGTGGAAATACTAAGCTCTACAAAGTCCCGCCTTAAATCAGAGTGGTACTGCTATCAGATGAGAAGGGCAATATGGCCTTTCCTATTTCAGCCTAAAGTAAAATGCCAACCCTCAGTCTGCAGCTGACACAATTGGCTTAGACTCTAGAGGGGCAATTAATTGAAATAGAATGGAGAAAATAATTTAGAAACCAGTAGCAGTCTGTTGGAGTGCAGCAGCAGCAGCCAATCGCAGAGGTTAATTCCAAGCATCTGCCTCAGTTCCCTGGCAGATGTTGCCAGCCTTCAGTGCCAATATTGGATCCCTTCCTGAAGTGTCTCCTGAACCATAAGAGAGTTGTGCAGTGATGGATTTGGGGCAGAACCTCTGAGCTTTCAGTCCTGTGTATTAATGTAAATAGGAAGTACTTAGCTTTAAAAGATTCTCAGTGGTTTCTGCTTTGTGACTGGTGCATCTTCTCCAAGAGCTGCTCGAGACTCTGTCAGCTGTACAGGCTTCTTTTGCCAGTGCTCTGCTCCAGACCACAGCTAAACTAGGTACTTAAAGTGGTTAAAATTTATCGTATCCCTTTTGTCTGAGGAACTATAGCAAGCTTTTTTCCCCAGCCAAATCCTTCTTTTTAATGTGGATAAACTGAAATGTGCTCAGAGCACAACTTCATGTGTGTTTCTTCTCTATCTCCAAACCAGTATTCAGGACTCTGCTGAACACAAAGGACTGTGGGGCACTGAGAAAGAATTTCTCTTCATTGCTATTAGAAACAAACAGATTTTTATCTTAGGGCTGCTCAGAAGTTGTGAGGGGGGAAAAATGGTGATTGAGGGGAATTGGAGAGAAGATACTTTTTCAACATCTTGTTATTCTCTCAGTCTAAGCTCAGCTTTGCTGGTGAACCTGAAATGAAGAAAAAAAAAACCCTGAGTTGTTTTTACATTCTTTTTGATCACTGTATATTTTTGAATATTAGTTACATGCTCAGGTAACTAACCCCATGCTCAGTAGGGTTTGGGATATTTTTAATAGCAAAGATACTGTCAGAGATGAGTGGATCGAATATATGCTTTATTGGTGGTCAAAAACTGGAATTCCTGTTCCCTTAGAAAATCATGAATTTGAAATTGTCATTATTTGGAATTAGAACACAGAGCTGATTTTCTGAATATCTTTGATTTGGGATGGGAGGCCTGGTTTGTTTTAGAAGGATGAATAGTAGTTTTTAACTTTATATATGTATTTAGTATGTAGACTTAGCTTTGGTACTTAAATGTTTTACTGAAGTTTTTCACATAAGTCAAATTGTATCATTTTCAATTGCTTATTTCAAAACCAGTTAAAATCAGTAATTCCTGAAATTATTTCATCTTTAGCACAATTTTCTTTTTCACTAAAGTGTTTGAACTGAAATCAGATGTGGCTTTAATTGGTTTGATAAATGCAAAACAAACATAGACACTTTGTAGTAATTATCTTTAGAAGGGCTGTTTCTCAAAATGTTTTAAAAATAGCCCTTTAAAAAGTTTAATGCTATCACTGATATTTTATATTAAGACAATGATGCAAATAGTGCTGCAGCAGTATTTGGAGTTTTGCTTCCCTGGCAGAAGACTTTCTTTTCCCAAGAACTGAGGATCCATAGTTGTGAGGAAGTTATGACAGGGAGAGAAGCTTGGATGCTAATATCCTGCATGGTGGCTTTCTGGACCAGTCTCTATGTGACAGGGATGTAAGGGGTGTACCTCTGCCTTCAGAAGTAAGAAGAATCTGAATTGGTCCTGTCATTGGTTTTTGGTAAAGCTAGCTGATGGTAAAGAGGCACATTATAGAAATTATAAATATTATACTAATTATTTTGTCAGGTGGAGTGTTGTCATTTATCTCTCAGGTTTTTGCGGCACAACAGAGATATGCTGAGGTTTTTACCATCAGCTAACCTCTGCATAAATTTGTTAATTTTTCCAGCAAGTCCAAGAGATTCTAAATAAATTTAAAACAATTATTTTAAGGCTTTCATGTGCAGTGATGTCACTGCACAGACAGGGGGATGGAAATTGCTAATAAATAAATAATAACATCCATTATATTTTATAGATCTTATAAATGCATAAATGCATGGGCCTGTTCAGCAGTGCCTTCAGAAGTAGACTGCACTACTGTGGACTTGGGAACAGGAGACCCCACTTACTGCATTAGCATTGTGCTGTGAATTTGCTCTGGGCAATCCCAGAGAAATATATTCAGGCTTGACTCAAGGCACTTCTAGTGGTGGTACCCCTTGCGTGCCCGGCTGTCTAAATTAGATGTTCCTGTTGTTGCCCAGAGAATTTAAGGAGAATATTTTTTTTTCCTTGCTTTTCTGGCACTAATTGCTCGTTTAATTTTGTTTGGTTCATTGGCTTTTAGTAAAGCTTGCTGATGGTAAAGAGGCACATTTTAGAACGTGTAAATATTGTACTCGCTCTTTTGTTTTCCCTCTTGAAACAAAGAATGAATGTTCTTGTGCCCTGAATTAAGGAAAGACCTTTGGTCTAGGAGCCTTATCTAATTAGGTAATCATGGGCATGTTTTCAGCGTTAGAAGGGACTTCATTTTATCCAAGAAACCCCCGGTAATTCCACAGAAGGAGGAAATGGAGCAGTGTTTTCCCTGTGTAGGAGCTGTGATTGTGCACATGGCCACAAGGAGCTAATGCCTGTCTGTGTGGGCTGGTTACGCGCTGGCTGCTGCACACAGGTCATGTTTGAGCAGCTTGTGAAAGGCAGCCTTGGCTGAGCCTGCAGCAACGCCGTGTGCAGAGATCAGCAGTGCCGGACGCAGTTGGGAAAGCACGAGGATGCCAATTGGTGGGAAACATTTAAACTGGCAGGGAGAGCAGGTAGCTGAGTGCAGCAAGCAGCCTACGTGAGGATCACAGGTTGCATCTGGGATTTCCTGATGAATGCCTAATGAGCCCATGGATTAGACGGGCAGAACTCTTCAAGCTGCTGTAAATGTAGTTGAAAGAAGCGTGGCTTGTAGGACACCAAATAACTGCTCTCGTGAAACCTTTTTTGGCATTGCAGTATTTAAAGACCAGAAAAATAATGGAGAGAAAACTGGACAATAAAATGAAAAGGGAACTGTCCTGCTTAGCTACTTTAAACGACAGAAACATATCCTTGGTGTCTATTCGTAAGCAGCAGGCAGCTTGTGATGTGCCTGAACTACTGATTATTGGTGAAAAGTCCAAGACGGCATCTCCGGTAAAAGCAAGCAGTAACTTGCAGAAAGAAGAGAAAGTTTTGCGGAGTTACTCCACGGGAATGACAGAAGTCAATACAGATGAAAGGCAGGTCAGTGAGCACAGGTGTGTGTGTGTGTGCATGCATGTTGGAAGTGGTGTTTCTGAACTGGTGAATTTAAAACAAAGCATGTTGGACATGGGTTGTACATTAAAGGAAGTTAAACCTCCTTTATCTAAATTGTCTCGATCCCCAGCATGGTTGCCATGCCCATAACAAGCAATACAAAAAGTCCTCTGGGGATCCTCTGAAAGTAATCTTTGAAACGAGCTGTTAATGATGACTTATGCTGTAGAAGCTAATGCAGCTCCACCTCTAATAATACAAAGTGGTGATTCTTAGGAAGGAAACATAATAGTATTTCTCCTTTTGAGCTCTGGTTGCTCCAGTAGTTTGACAGAAGCTCATACTAGTTTGGAGTGACAGAAATTGGAGAAACATTAAAAGGTCCTTACTGTAGGTAAGTAGTTTATTTATATTTAGTAAGTGAGTGCTAGTGAAGTTCTTGATAAATACATCTGCACAACTTTTTTTAAAAATTCAGTGTTGTATATAACTGTGGTATTTCTGGAGATTAACTGCTGTGGTGAAGAGACTTAGGAAGATCAATGCTGAAAGAAACATGATGAGGTTTATTATTTTAAAAGAGTTTTGCTGTTTTAAACGTATGTACACAGAAGTAATGTAGTTTGGATGAGTGAATATTGTGACTATTTAAGGAAAATAAACGCTCAGAACAAAGCTCAGTTGGTTGGAGCGTCGTACTAATAATGCCAAAGTGTTAGGTTTGATTCCTGCATGAGCCATTTGCTGAAGAATTGGGCTTGATGATCTTGGTGGGTCCCTTCCAACTCAGAATGTTCTGTTATTCTGTGTTTTCGTGTTCTTTGAAAGTATGTATGGTTAGAATGGCTCAAATAGCATTAGATTAGAATGAAATAACAGCTGTAAGAGACCAAATATACCTGAAGGCTTTTTCTGCCTCTAGTTACTTCTTGTATTATAAATGTTTGCTAGAAAACAATCATGACATAGATAGCTTTTTTCTACCAAAGGATCTCTTCTCTGTATTCAGTTTGCTGGGACATGTATGTTGCTTGTATCGGTGCTATGAAGAACATCACAAAGAAGTTTGCCTTATTTTAATTCTAAATTTGAAACATTTCATTTACAGCAAGCCTTTCCCCTTTCCCATAAGCCAAACTTGGTTTACATAGCTCCCTTTAATTTAAAAGTGCCTGTTAAAGTCTCTGAGGTTTGTTGACTACTGTGTAGGTCATTTCAGTAAGACTAACTTCAGCTGCCTAAATCTTTCCCTATCATCTGTTAGAGAAGCCTGATCCCAGATGGGAAATAAGAGTCCCTTGGCAGAAGCACTAGTAAAATCAACTTAGTATTTTGGAAACAAAAGCCTCATAAAGGCTGCTTTGTAGTAGTAATATAATTGAATCTTGATATTCAGGTTTCTTCTGTTAGAGAAGCCTGATCCAGATGGGACATAGGAGTCTCTTGGCAGAAGCACTAGTAAAATCAACTTAGTATTTTGGAAACAAAAGGCTCGTAAAGGCTGCTTTGTAGTAGTAATATAATTGAATCTTGATATTCAGGTTTTCCCTTGTTTAAGACTCAGGAACTGTTAGAAAAATAACAAATTATGTTGTAAGTAGTTACTGAATATAGTAGCTACTGACATTTGTTAATCTTAATTTGGGAGATGAGGGGAGAAAGACAAACCAATTATGATCTAATACATTTAAACCATATAATCTGACGAGATGCACTGAAAAATGTTAAGGAGGATAAGGATTGAATTGCTGGGTACTCTGTGTGCCAGAGTCTGCTGTTACTGGCAAAAAATTGAAGACTCGTGACCTTTGATGTTTTTGTGGCTTCTCTGCCCTCATTTTGTTGTTCACTGTCTGCCTATAATAAACTGGGAAACATCTGAAGCGTTTAATTATTAGTGTGTGGTTTTTCAGTTGTATGCTACTGCTGCCTGAATCCAAAGCCATGAATCAGGCAGTTGTGAAAGAAGGAAGTAGGGAGGGTAAAACAAAGATAAGACAATTCTTCGGCAGTTGTGCGCTCAAAGGTAAGAGTGCGATAACTGATTTCAACCCACAGAGGTACAAGGAAAAGAGCAGGCCAAAACTTCAGGGCATAGTGGATGAGAGGTTCAGGGACCTCCAGCATTTGTGGATGAGCAGGCAGGGAGAGGCAGAGGGGGAGGTGCTGAGTGGGCCAGGCCCCAGCTGATGCCTAGCATCACTTTGAGGAACCTGATGCTTGAGTTTTAGGATGTGAAAGTTGCCATCCCTGCAGGCTAGTCAAAGGAGGGCAGGAGAGCAATGCCAGAGAAAGGGGGAGAGCCTTGCTGGAGGAGCAGAGAGGAGCAGTGCTGTGCTGGATCTTGCTGTGGGTGATGCTCAGGGAGCTGTGGAGTGCGCCTGTCACAACTTCAGCCTCGTGCTGCAGAGGCCAGGAGTGTTATAGTGGGATTTTGGAGGTGGCTGCACCTGGGAAACAGGTAGAGGGATGGCTTTCCTGGTGACAAGCCACCCCACGAGGTAACCATGAAACACATCAATGGAGGCAGCATGGGGACTCAGCCAGGGGTGGATGGTGGCTGGGCTGTGAAGCCAAGGAAGGCAGAAACCTTGTTGAATTCACAGCCATGGTGTTGCATTCATTCTCAAGATATGGGTCACCATGTGTGCATGTGTGAGGGTCCTACCTAGTACCATGGTTTCTGTGTCTTTGGGTTTTTTTCTGAGTTCAGTTGTTTTTCTCAGATTTATTATTAGCTACACTGCTTAAACTCTCAGCCTTTGCATATTTGAATGGGGATATCCAAAAGAAGGAGCCTGTTTTGGGGTACCATGGTCAGCATGATGCTGGGCCCCTAAGGGCAGCCCTCAATGGGGTGGGTTTGCCCACCAGCCATACAGACCATGGGCTAAGACTACCTTTCCCAAATGAACCTGCCATGAACTCTGGATGCTCTGTGCCAAACCAGGGCTTGAGACTTGGTGCTTCCAATCCAGCAGCATCTCCCTGCCCTGCTCTACCTCCATGCTTTCACAAAAAGTTAGTCCAGCCCCAGGGCATATTCCTGTTGGATCATCTTCTTCCTGCTAGCTGGAGGCAGTCTGAAAGGGGAGCATGAGCCTCTGCCTCTTCCAGCTGTTCCCAAGCCCTGCTTTGCCCCAGGACAGGCATGAGTGCTACAGTTCCTGTCTGAGACATCAAGGGTTGCTCTTCATGCCTTGTTTCTTGCTTTGAAATCCTCATACTGGGATGTGGGCTTCAGGTGCCACACTCCTGCACATTTGCCACTCATCTTGAGTCTGGTTCAGAGCTTCTCCTCTAGATGCAAGTGTTTTCCAACCAATTCTGGTGCTTTCTTCAAAGATCTCTCCATCTACTACTGATTCTGTGTCAATGATTTCTCAAATTCCTTCAAATTTTTTGCATTGTTCATATGAGCTCCATAACTTCATTTTTTTCAGAGTAGAGACTCGGTCTGCTGTGCACTTTTGGTTCCAACTTTTACATGCAGAACAAAGGAGAGAAAGAATTGGCATCATTTCATGTGTAATTATTTGCATATTCCTCATATAGATACTGTAAAAATATGTATGAAACTGGTAGAGCAAACAGACTTGGTGTATACCTGCCGTTAAAAGTGAGCCATTCTCCTTTGATGTGGAGACAAAAGAGTAACTATGGCCAGTTCTTTTACACATTCCCTTCTGGATGTAGAGTCAGACACATTTCCATTATTTTGTTAATATTTCTCTCTGGGCAGAAAAAAACAGAAGGGGCAATGCCTGAGACTCCCAAGCAGCTTTTTGGGCATTTTTGATGGTGATTGTTTTTCTGATCCTCTTGCAGACAGTGTCTCTGAATTGCTATATACAGCCTCATAGATGCTATTTTATGTGTGGGTGTCAGCTGGTATCAGAAAACCCTTTTCTGAAACCCAGTGTGTGCCTGAGGAAAACTGTGGGCACATTTCTGTACGCCTCATCTTTGTGCCCTAACATTAATCTGCTGTTTTCCTCTTGTCTGATGTAGAAACACTCTTCTTGCAAATACACACACATATGTATTTCTGCCTATGCTGTTTCTGGGAGCTTTTTTGAATGGTTTCTGGGGGTAGATTCTTCAATGTTTTGGCACATGTGTGGGGTACCAGGAAAACTGAGAAAGTTAGTGAGCATGGGAGAGGAGGGAACACAGTGGAGGACATAAGGCTTGTGATGGTTCCTGAGTTTCATCTGCAAGTGGTGGCCAGACAGGCACTGAAGCAGAGAGTGGAGGATGCTTGTCTCCTCTGCTCATGCTCTGTTTCACCAAAGATGCAGAAGGTGAAATACCTCTGTCCAGTGAGCCAAAGTACATCACAGGGTGGCCTTCTGTAACTGCCACACAGATTCCACTGGGTATTTTTGGTAAGAGCAGCCCACTGTGAGCAGTGTCCTTGGGGCACTGGGGACAGGGAAGTGGGGATGACAGACAGTGTTCACATAATGCTTCTTGAGGCAGTATTTACAATAAATGGGAGTTTAAGTTTAGGCCACATTTGAGATGTGGTAGATGGGAGGCCGTTTTCAGATGGGATTTCTTCCCATACACAAGGCCAGGTTATCATTTCAAATTGTGGGAAGTCACAGCAATAAGATGACACAAAAATGGGGGTGTCCTGGTTGTTTTTGTGTGGTGATTAAACAGGGCACCACCTTTGCAGGGAAGTCTGAGTAACTGTTAATGCTTTGTTTTGAAAGGAGGTGCTTGTGGCACCTTTCCATATATATTGGGGATTTCACTAATTTGTGGGAAGTGCAAGGAGAGCAGTGTCCTGCGTACTACCAGGCCTGTGGGAGGAGGAGGCAAAAGAGGATGCCAGGACTAAAATATTCCTCTGACTCTTCTTCCCCAGCATCCCTGGAATGCAGCCATGAGACCAAGCAGAAGGTGGGGAGCAGGAGGGACAGTCTGCTGTCAGGATAGTTGAGGGGCTGCACCATAATCTTGAAGAGCTGAACTTGTTCATTCCTTCTCCTGTTCTAATGAATACAGTTTAGAAAAGGCTGAAAGCAAATTTCTTGTCTTATGTTTTTGCTGTTTTTGTGACCCCAGACCTTGTTATTCCCAAGCTGTCTAAGTGTGAAACAAAATCAAGTTAATGAATTTTGAATACTGCATCCAATGAACTGTATGCAGTCTAGTGTTACTAAGCAGCCTAAATGCTTCTCATTCATGCTGTGGTATTGAGAAGGAAGTTTTCTTGTGGATCATTGGAACAGGATCTGCAGTACTGAGCCTGATCCAGTGGGCCCTTCTCCAGGCTCTCCCTGCAGTAATGCCCAGCATCAGGTGTTTTGTTGAATGTCAGAGAGCCCAAGGCTTTGCAGGCAAGAGAATAGATTTATCCTAGTAGTTTTTATGTAGATCTCTAGTATTTAAAGTTGCTTTAAGTCATGGACATGGATTTTCATGTTCTTTCCATGAAATCTGACAATCTAGAACTTGTCCCTGCCCTTTTCAATCTTTCTCATCACATGGCTCCAGCAACTGGAGACAGAGTCTGTTCTTGCAATACTTGTTCTGTAAGAAGCATTGGCACTTTTTTTATATTTATTTTTCAATTGAATTGAGTGCATTCAGCTGTTAAGTTCCAGTATTGCAGAGCCCATGATCTGACTGAGAGATAGTTCACTTCTGGCTAGCCTATTTCAGTACTGGCCACTCTGAAAATCAGTGTTGGATCAAATCAGTGACTTACTGTAGCACAATGTATTGTCTTAGGCATCTCAGAAGTAGGTAAATAAAATTAAAATAGTGAAAATATCTGCTTACAGTTCTGTGTCTTTCAAGGTCCTTGTTAGATACAGATTTCAAGTTAAAAGGAATTCATATTAAATGCAGAGAGCCTATGCTTTTGTGCGTGTGCATATAGCTCTTCAAGTATCATACAGCTGACCCTTCCTGCATCAGCTTGTTTCAGGCTTCTGGAACAGTCATGATTCTGTTTTCTTGGACTTTTTGATTTTCTTTGGTTTGGTTTGAACTCTTCCTGGGAAGTAGCAGGTTGGCAAAACTGGGCCTGTTTATGACCTTTTTGGAGAGGCAGTCAGCACACTCTCTACTGTGACACACTGTGCCAGTGACAGTGTGCTCTGAAGAGCAGCTCAGGCTGTGTGATGGAAGTGTCCTGTGGCTGCAGAGAACTCAGGTCTTAAATTACTTGGTTGGGGTAGGAATATTGAGTCAATTCTGCTTTAATATCCATAGTCAGGATTTTCTAAATTGCTGCTCAATAGACTGTCAGAAGCCTGATTCGTCATCATGGGCATAACTCACTGGTAATATATTCAAAGTGCAAAATAATGTTGAAAGGGTTCGCCTGTAGACTAATTTGAGAGCACTCCTAGTATGTGCTTGAGAACATATGAATTCTGATGTTGCTTTTGCAGGGCTGAGGACACATGCATTTATTTTTCTTTTCCACTTTCTCCTCAGGCTTTGTCCAACATCGATTCTCCTCCTGGTTGTGAGCTGAAGCCTACAATGAAACATAAATTTGCTTTTGACAACATGGGCTATGAGGAGAGCTCTGAAAACATGTCCTCTCCACCTTCCCAAGAGCATACTGTGGTAGTCAACATTGTGGGAATGACTTGCCAATCATGTGTGCAGTCAATAGAAGGCCGAATTTGCAAGGTGAAGGGCATTTTGAGAATTAAAGTCTCCCTTGAACAGAACAATGCTGTTATCAAGTATCTGCAGTTGGAAATAAGCCCCGAACAGATTTGCCAGGAAATTCTGGATATGGGCTTTGATGCCAATATAGCAGAAGAGAAGTTGACAACAGCAACTGTAAATTTGCCAAGCTTGAAAGAAGCGGTAGCTAAGCTTCGGGTAGAAGGCATGACATGCCAGTCCTGTGTCACCAACATTGAAGGAAAGATAAGGAAACTGCATGGTGTAGCAAAAATCAAGGTGTCACTTGATAACCAAGAAGCAATTATTGCTTACCATCCTTACATCATTCAGCCCGATGACCTCAAGAGACACATCAGTGACCTGGGGTATGACTGCACCATTAAAAGTAAATCGGCCCCTTTGAAGCTGGGTGCCCTTGATCTCCAGCGCTTGCAGAATGCAAACCCTAGGGAGACATCTGCAAGTCTTGAGAGTGATGGGCTGGATCTGCTGGTCCCTGAGATGGGTAGCACAGCAACAGTGACTGCACAGATAGAGGGCATGCACTGCAAGTCCTGTGTCAGAAATATCGAAGGAAATATATCAGATCTTCCTGGCATAAAATGTATTAAAGTGTCTTTGGAGAATAAATGTGCTGTGGTACAGTATAGCCCAGATTTAATCACCCTGTCAGCTCTGCAGCAAGCTATTGAATCCCTTCCACCTGGAAACTTTAAAGTAAGCCTCCTTAGTGGTTCAGAAGCAAATAAAGCAGCATCTTGCTCGGGTGCTTTCACATACAATGTCATCAGACAGCCACCACAAGGCACGACACATATGGCTGTTATTAAGATTGATGGCATGACCTGCAATTCTTGTGTGAAGTCCATAGAAGGGGCCATATCACAGAGGCAGGGAGTGCAGCACGTGGCAGTTTCTCTTGCTGGCAGTACTGGGACCATACACTATGATCCAGCTGTCACTAGTGGAGAAGAGTTAAGAGCTGCCATAGAAGACATGGGATTTGATGCCTCTGTGCTGACAGGTAACGGTGTTTTTTTTTCTGTGGGTAGCATGCCAAGGTGGGTCATGCAAGGTCTTCATTGAGATTCCTGGAGAGAAACTTGTAAAGTATCACATTGACATTGTCTCTTCTGAATGTCTGGCCTGATCTGACCTGACTTAGCAAGAGAGAGAGGTTTCAGCTGTAAGGCACCTTGTTTCAGCCCTTAATAACTGCAGCAGTGGGTGTAAGAGCCGAATTACATTATGAAACCAAAAAAAGTCTGAGGTACAATGCCTTTCAAATAGCTCATTCCCTTACCCCCTGAAGTAAGTTTCCTCCTATGTCTGCAGGCTGCTGTAAATAGATCTCTCAAACCAAATGTTTACATTTATGTTCAAGAATACTAAAACCTACAAACTTAATGAAGTCTCTTTCATTTAAAACCTCTTTTCAGTGTCTTTAGCCTTTGACCTTTATTTCTTGAGTATTTTTGCCTGCCTTACTTCACTAAACCTTGCTTTAAGTTAAGTGGCAAAATGCAGGTACTCTTTGGTGGGAGCAGCTGCTTTTGCATGTCAGTTGCATCAGTGTATGCATTTTGTACATGTGTTTAATGTTTAAAAAGTTATTTTGATGCACAATCTCCTCTCTCGCAAATTTCTAATGTGGAAATTTTCACCTGCTTCAACTAAACATATTTACTTTTAAATACTGATGTAGTTTACTTAAAATTAAGTAGATTGATCACAAAAAACCACATCCTATTCACTTCTCTCATGGGTCCAATCCCTCTGAATTTGTCGTACTACTACAAATGAGGAGGGGCCTGTGTTTAATTATAATTTGTTTGGCTTATAATTTGTTGGTAGGAGACCGTCCACTTAATCTCGAAAAGGAGGGACCCCCCGCTATGTTTAACATGTTTGGAAGCAACTCCTGCTCCTTTACACAAACCTCTGCCCAAGGGAGGTAGTTTGTGAACACAGCTGGAGCTGTTGTGCATCTGTTCAGTACCTGGCAAAAAATAAAAAGGCTTGCAGGAGGCCTGTTTGTGTTCAGATCTCTGGGGTGCTTCCAATATTCATTTTGGAGTACTTGTAGTGCGAATACTGTGCCATAAAGAGAAACCTGTTGAGAAACTTGCTGTTTTCCTTGTTTGAGATGAAGTGATGTGAATCCTACATAGATGGCAACAATGACAGAATGGGTATGACTGGACTACATCCTCTGTCCTGGATAAGGACCCTCTAGATACCAATATATCTTTATCAAGTGAAGGTAGCTGACAGCTCTAGCTATTGAAATTGGAGGGAATTGTTTGCCATCTGAATGGGGAAAACTAGTTCTGTAGAGTTAGATGGTCATGCAAGTGGTACTAGTGAATATGTAGTTTTATAAGCATTGTAACAACCTATAGTATTTCCATATCGAGACCAAGGTTATTGTGTCACCTTCTAAACAACTGTGAGTGTTTTTATGGTTGATAAATGTGGCTTGTTTGTACTTTTACGTCACCCAGTCATACTATAAATAGCTCAGTGTATTGTGCATTTATTCAAGATACTGCCACTGGAGAAAAGAGGTGCCAGCCTGATGCCAGCAAAGCTGCTGTGCAGCCTCAAGCTCCAGAGCCTCCTCGCCAAGGCAATGCCTCGGAAGCTCTTCCAGACAGTCCTCACCCTGAGGGGTCAAACCAGCTCAGTGGAGCCAGAGAAGAAAAGTGTGTTTTACAGATCACAGGCATGACTTGTGCATCGTGTGTGTCTACCATTGAAAGAAATTTGCAGAAAGAAGATGGTAATAAGTTTAAGATTCCTATAATGAGTCTAATAATAAGGGATTATGGAATGGAAAAGATATTCTATAAGAATAATAGGAGAGGCTGTCATACAACATCTGGAAGTTAAATAGACTACATGCTCTTTCTTAGTGCTAACGTAGCTATGTCGCTGTTTAACTATCCTATTGCACTGGTGGGCAAACATGATGAACATACTTGTAGAAGGTTGTAAAGTGATAAAAATTTCAAATAAGTCTGAAGACAAGAACAGAGAAACAGTTGTCATTTAGTTTTCAGGCCCTTGTTGGTTTACAAAGCAATCCATCTCCCCCACAGCCATCGAGAGCTCGGGCATGCTTGGGCATATTTGCACAAGCAGGCGCAAACAAACCTATGGCTCCACTGCCAGGGTAAGCTTAGGCACAGTGCTGTTTACTGGTCTAGAAGTCTGCAGGCCAGGGCTGCCTTTCCTCTGGCCATGTAGAAGATTAACAGATGAACCTTAGCAATGTCTGATTTCATTTGTGTCAGCATGCATTTAGGATGTTTTGCTTATTGATTATTCTCTCCCCAGTCTCCCAATGGTGGTCGCACTGCCTTGATTTAGAAATAAAAAAAGCATTAGCTCTTCAAAACAATTTTTTTTGCCTTGTGATCTTCATGTTTTGATTTTTAATTCTAAATGTAGATTTCTGCGGGCTTTTTATTTATTAAAAAAATAAGGAGGGGTAGAGAACAGGAAAATAAAAAGGTGTAGCATTGTGCTGCAGGGCTTGTTCTTAACTACAAGAGTCTAGGGTACATCTTGCAGCAGTGGATGTAAAGGTTCCTTCCAAACATCCTTTTTGTCTCATTAGATCACAGCAAAACTTACATCCTTCCCTATGTAAATGTTGCAATTCCTCTCATTGCTAAAGGGGAACTCAGTGTGGCTGGGTCTCTGTAAAAACTTTGCTATTGTGGCTAGGGAACAACGCTAGAAGGAGGCAGAGAGAAGTCATTAAGCTTATAATATCTCTAAGTTGTTGCAGTCCTCACTGATAGTCACTTGTAATATTTTATTTTTATTTCCATCAAAGGACCTACTTTATCTAATATGTTTGTTTTTACCACTGCAGGAATTGTTTCAGTATTGGTAGCACTGATGGCAGGTAAAGCAGAGATAAAATACAAGCCAAAACTCATACAACCTCTTGAAATAGCACAGCTGATCCAGAATTTGGGTTTTGAAGCTACCATTATGGAAAATAATGCAGAAACAGAAGGGCAAGTGGAGCTTCTTGTAAGTCATGTGTATTTGAAATTATATGTTTGTTTTGGAAAAGTCGGGTCTGGAAGACTCATTTTCTTGCAAATAGCTTTGCTTTAGCAGTTGTGGCTTCAGCAATTCTGGCTGGTGACACTAATTTTTTATAATTGCTGAAAAGACAAAATCAGCTTGTCTTAGAAGAACCTATCCAAAAGCACTGAAATAAAAAGGGATAGTTCTATGTACAGACTTAGCAAGCAGAAATGAAACAGAAATTTTCCATTAAGGCACTTCAGTACAGACTCTGAGTAACTGAGAATTTGTCAACAAATACGTATTGTTAATGTTAAGGGTTTTGCATAGAGGTCTAGGAGCTTTGGGTAAAATCAGTAAAATTAGTAAATTGCTTATTGAAGTATGGATTCCTCAAATACTATCTTTTATTCTCTGACTGCAAGTTAGTTACTGCCAGACAGAGAACAACAGTCTGCTGCTGTGTTAATAGATCACAAAGTGGTAACATGCGTTACTGAAGCCACAGGAAAATTTAAGAGAGATGAAGTAACACATGCAGAATTTGGTTCTGGCAATGTTGATAGAACCATATTATTTATACTTTTACAATTAATAGCATGTCTGAGTGCTGCCATGCAAATACATGGCAGCGATTATTTCTGCTATCTGCACAATTTTATAATAAAAGTGGATAGTTATGTTCTCAGCTTTGTATCATTTAAGACAGCTTATAAAACCTTTATGCTGAGGCCTTGTCTCAAGTACACCCACAAATATTGGGTGAATGTGGGGTATTGCTAACTACCCAAAATTGTGTTTTCTTTAGATTACAGGGATGACTTGTGCTTCTTGTGTTCACAATATTGAATCCAAACTCATGAGAACAAATGGCATATTCTCTGCCTCAGTTGCACTTGCAACTAGCAAAGCTCACATCCAGTTTGATCCTGAAATTATTGGTCCACGAGATATTATAAAAGTAATCAAGGTAGGCTTTGGAAATTTTTTATGTATAGACAATTACATGGTGAAATTTAGAAGGAAGTAAAGCAGCTGATATTTGAGAGGTTACACTGATTTTGTAGATGCCATAGTTATTGCCACGTTTTTATGCTCTTGTGGTGAGGCTGCTGTACTCCACAGGAATGCATAGGCTCCCCAGCTGTTACTCTAAAAACACACACTAAGAACTACAAAATGAACCCTTTTTATCTTTATTGGGCAAAAATGTCATACATTCATTCCTTGGAATTCTGTGTGTAGAATCACAGTAATTTCAGTGAAGTGTTGCTAATTCAGAAAAATATACTTCTTTCTCTTGACAAAGGCTGTAAAAGAAGTTTTGCCACAGCTCATGCCACAAGCATTACATATCTCTGTACACACTTGCATCTATCCTTACTATCCTTACATATTTTTTAATGGAAACAGCTTGTGATACAGCCTGATATTAAATGAAAAAGTCCTGGTTTACCAGTAATCACACAGATCATAAAATCTACTGTTGTGATGGCTGAGATATGGACAAAACTTTTTTCTTTTTTGTCCCACCAGGAGGGATCATACTGTATGAGGTGCATGCAGTGAGTTGTCAGGAGGACAGCAGGGACTGTTTGCCTTTTATGGTTGTCTAGATCCCAGTAGCTTGTGCATTTTAACTTCCTTTGTGGTATGTCCCATATCTCCTGATTATTCCAATGGGGGTGAAAGGGCATCTATTTTCCTTTAGGCGGAGTGCAATAGAATTTCACCTCTCAGTGGAAACTCTCCATGCCTGAGAGCTTGGACACTTACTGCATCTATACACTGTGTTCATGTATAGGTGCTGGAAGTCCTTTGCAGTCCAAATTTTGACTACTGACTGAAATATCCTCTCATTTTGGAAGAATCTAAAAGTAAATAAAGGGTTGGAACTTATTAAACATGGAACAGTGTCTTTTTATGACATTTCTTCTAAAAGCAGTGTAATTTAAATGTATTTTAAGTACTATGGTTGGCTTCATCAAAACTAACTTTCCTTCCGTTTCAATAAAAAGGAAATTGGCTTTCATGCTTCTGTGGCTAAAAGAGCTCCAAATGCACATAATCTGAGTCATAAAAAGGAAATACAGCAGTAAGTATTTCTTTTCTCTCTCACTAAAGAACATGTCTAGATCATATCTTGTAACTGTACTCCCCCCAGCACTTTTCCCAGTTAATTAGGTTAGTCTTGTGTAAAGCATATTTAATTTTACCATTTGCGCTTTTATTGCTTTCATTAGTTTTAGTTTTTAACTACCAGAAGTCTGTACAGTTAAATATATTGCAGACATCGAAGCTGTTCCAAGATACTGGATCTTTGCAAATATCCCAAAACTGTGTGTTAGTACAATGCTAACAGCACCAGCCCTGCACTACCAGCACAGTTGGGCCTGAGTGGGGTGTAAAAAACCCATGGATTTACAGTTTTTCTTTTCCAGGTGGAGGAAATCTTTCTTATTCAGCCTAGTGTTTGGTATCCCAGTTGTAGTCCTAATGATTTATATGCAAATACCCAATGGTGAAGACCACGGGTCTAAGGTGCTGGAACAGAACCTCATTCCTGGATTATCTATTTTGAATCTTCTTTTCTTTATCCTGTGCACTTTTGTTCAGGTATGTCCATACTGCTTCCTAGGGGTTTACTTTCTATGCATCTCCCATTTATGTAATCTGATATGATAAAGACAGAAATGAAAAGATTGAGTGGATTAGGCCTGCTCTTTTGTCTGTACCACCTACACGAATGAAGTGGCACTTTTCTGGAAGTTATTCTTTCTGTTTTTATGCATAGCTCTTACTCCTATCAAAGTTGCATCAGATAGTTTCTAAGTGGAGAAGGTAATATTAAAATAGATACCTAATCATCTACAAACTAATTAGGTAGCTGTAGGTAAATACTTTCATTTTCTATGCCTTGTGTACTTTGATTTTGAGAAAAAAGGGATGTCAGTGGAATCAGTTCCCTAGTAGACCTGAAGTTACATCAGTATCAAATTTGCTTGGGTCAGCAATGCCTTCTCTTATCTACTACATGGTTTTAATTCTGCTCTGGGCAATGTTATGTACTCTGTGGTAGCTGCTCTCAATACGAGTCTGTCCCTGCTCACCCCAACAGTTCCTTGGTGGATGGTATTTTTACGTACAAGCTTACAAGTCACTGAGGCACAAGACAGCCAATATGGACGTGCTCATCGTGCTGGCCACGACGATTGCTTATCTGTATTCCTGCATCATCCTGATAGTAGCAATCATTGAAAAGGCAGAGAAAAGCCCTGTCACTTTCTTCGACACGCCTCCGATGTTGTTTGTGTTCATTGCGCTCGGCAGATGGCTGGAACACATAGCCAAGGTAACTCATCTTCACACAAATATTGTGTATTTATGATAGGAGTGGAATAAACTATCCAGAGGAATTTTGAGTCAGCTGTTTTTGGTGTAGTCTATAATATGAAAAGTTGTTCAGAGTTCATTGTGTTAAGTATATATCAAGATTTAAATATCTCAATGTATCTTAAACATTTATCTGTTTTTTAGGGTAAGACCTCTGAAGCTCTTGCTAAGCTTATGTCTCTTCAAGCCACAGAAGCCACTGTGGTGACTCTTGGACCTGGCCACTCTATTGTCAGGTATGTATTTATGAATCAAAATCCCTTCAGCCTGCCTGGATCACAGACTAGGCTTGATCCAGTTAATCTGAAAGCTGATGGCATAAGTAACCTGCCTGTTCTACTTGTGTCTTTTGCAGGGAGGAGCAAGTACCTGTTGAACTGGTTCAAAGGGGTGATATTATAAAAGTTGTTCCTGGTGGAAAGTTCCCAGTGGATGGAAAGGTCATTGAAGGCAATTCTATGGCAGATGAGTCTCTCATTACTGGTAACTTCCCTTATCATACACAAAGAAGTGAAATCTTCTGGAACTCTATTACAAGAAAAGAGAGCAGACCCAACCCAAACACTGCTGTATGAATAGCTGCCCACCTTAATGGATGCTGTGGCTTTGTAAGCTTGAATTCAAATCCTGCATCTGTGCACACCCTAAGAAACGGAAGGTTTTCCTCTCAGTCTGGCCACTTACTAACGTACTGATGGGGTGGATAGAGTCATAACAGTATTGTAATTATTCCAGTGATCTGGCTGGAGTTTCCTCTGAAATGTATTTATAGTGAGGGTACCTTCTCAGAAATAATTTCTAAAGGATGATGTGGAAATACTGATGAAATGCTGGAGTTTGTATGACAGGGTACTCTGAATGAGCAAGGAGTGGGAAAGAAAGCCTCAAAATTTGATGTTTATTAAGGGTCACAGAACTTTTTAACATATTTTGAAATTTTCATTTCATTTTGTATATATAGTAAGGATTCAATGCATTGTACAATTCTTATAAATGAAGTAAAAGATACAAAAATTTGCATTGGCAATGGATTACTTGTTCTAGTTCTGTTTTTACTTTACTTGGGAACAGGGACACCTTTTGCTTCAGGGAACCAGTTGTTATCACTACCACTAAAATTAGAGAAAATAAAGATGTTCTAGAGCTAGTCTTCATGCAGCGGGAGCAGGAGAACAGGAACTTTTCCACAGAAAAGCTTTCTGGTCTTTGAAAACTCAGGGTCATGGAGATAAAGACAGAATTCTCAAACTCCCATTGCTATGCCAAGTATTAATGGAGAAATTCCTAGAAGTACCTATTCCAACCAATTTGCTCCTTGCCCTTTTGAGTGATGGTTCACTGAAAAGTTACAACCAAGGAAACAGCATTTGTTTTGAAATTAATCCTATAAAAAGGTTTATAAAAATATAACACTACCTATCCATGTCTTTACCAGACAGAGATACCCGGTATGTGATTTCTGGTCATTATTCCTTAGCCTACTGATTTTGCTAACATAGAATGAGCTGTGTGCTAATGGATTATGGTGTTAGGGGTATTGGCTCATTTATTCTTACCTTTTCTTTCCAGGGGAACCTATGCCAGTCATTAAAAAGCCTGGGAGCACAGTGATTGCTGGTTCTATAAATGCACATGGCTCACTTCTTGTTAATGCAACGCATGTTGGTAATGATACCACTCTGGCACAGATTGTGAAATTGGTGGAAGAAGCTCAAATGTCAAAGGTAAAATAATGGAGAAGAAAACCTTGTTCACAGATATTGATTGAATAATAAAAAGATTCTATGTTTTGATACTTACACACTTCAACAAACTGTGGTTTTCCAGAACTATTGTGTATTTTCATGAACTCTTCATATTTATATGTTTTGATCATGAACATGCAAATAACTGAGTTTATTTTTTATAGGCACCCATCCAGCAACTGGCAGATAAATTTAGTGGATACTTTGTTCCATTTATCATCATCATTTCAACTGTGACATTGATAGTATGGATCACAATTGGTTTTGTAAATTTTGATATTATTAAAAAATATTTTCCTGTAAGTAGTTTTATTATTATAACTAGATTTTTGTGTTAGGATGTCTTCCAATGTAATTAACATACCTTTTCTATATAGAGTTTGATTTTATAATCACCCTGAGAGGAGCTCAGTTGGTTAGATAATAACACCAAGGTTGTGAGTTCAATCCTGGTATGGGCCTTTTACTTTAAGAGTTGGACTTGATGATCCTTGTGAATCCCAACCCAGAATACTCTGTAAATTCTTCTGTAAAACATGGTATTTTCTACACAGAACAGATAATTTCACTATTTAAAATCTCTTTGCAGGTATATGTATTTTTGCGTTTACCCCTTAGTTCTGCATGGGGTTCTTAGAAATGGAAATTTTTGACATTATTTCTGGACTAAATATGATCTATAGCTGCGTTGCAAGGAGTGGAGCCATTCCTGTTATGTCTGAAATTTTTGTGGGCATTCTAATGGCAGATAATGATTTTGTCTCAAGAAAGAAGCTGAGCTTCTGTCATCTTTAGGATGTATATTCATTATGCTCAGCAACTGGGAGGATCTGTGTATCTGTAAATAGCACTGTCCATTGCTGAGCTTTAAAGGAAATCCCAGCAAATTATGTTGACATCTGGGAGACTCAGAGCAGAGACAAGCATTTTTATGCTTGAGCAGCAAAAAATCCAGAAAATAGTGCCATGAACAATTCATGACATTGACCTTTCTTTAGCATTACAGTAACAATAATAGATTGATTTCCTGTACTGAAGTTTTCCAGATAAATCTGTTTTCTGAAATGACTGTGATTGATTGTACATCTATGTTATCTGCTGTTGGTAATCTTACATATCTTTATTTTTTCCCCCTTCTCTTCCCTCTTCTTGCAGAATCAGAGCAAAAACATTTCAAAAGCTGAAATAATACTGAGGTTTGCATTTCAAACCTCAATCACTGTGCTGAGCATTGCATGCCCTTGCTCTTTAGGCCTGGCTACCCCCACAGCTGTAATGGTGGGCACAGGAGTGGCTGCGCAGAATGGTATTCTCATCAAAGGTGGAAAACCCCTGGAAATGGCACATCAGGTTAATAGTTCATTCTGTACTTTTGTAGCTTTCCCAGCTATTGCTATATGAAATATAATTCCCCAGGAAATCCTGCATGTCCAAAGAAAGATGGTGGAAAGTTGTTCCTTCTTTTTTTTTTTAATTTTAATTTTTATTTTTTCATTTTTTAAATTTAATTGATTGCTGTTCGTTAAAATTAAGAAGATGAATTTAATCTTCTTCAAAGTAGTCATAGCAAAGTGTTGAGACCCAGCACACCCTACAATCTCATGACTGTGAGGTTGCTAATTCTCTTCATGGCAATCCTCTTCATGGTAATCCTCTTCTGCAGAAGAGCCAATAATCCACTGAAGTTTTTTTCTTTCCTCTGAGACCTGTTGTGAAATGCATATTGTTCATGATCAGTAGTTTAAAATGTAAAGGAAAATAATTATTTGAAGTTGTTTTAGTGTATAGACAAGAAGGACAGAAGGAAGGCAGAAAAAAATCTTCAAAGACACAAAGATTATGCAAAGAGGCGAAAGAGGTTGAAGGAGAAAGAAGTTTGATATGTCCACAGCTGCTGAAAAGAAAATTAATCAAAACCATGCTGTGATAGGCTGTATTAGACATATGCAGAACATTTTAAGGGAGGAGGATGGTAACAGCAAGTTAATTGGACTGATAATTCTTGTTATTACTTGACGACAAGTTTTTCCAAGGCTCTGGAAAAAAATGAAAAAGACTGCTAATTAATGCTGGAAGTTTTTTGCCTTTTGTATCCAAGCAAAGCTATGGCCAGGGCTTTGAAAATTAGGTGACCTCTGCGATTCTGCAAGGTTGGTGTGTTGAAATAGCTGGATATGGAATAAGTGCCTACTTTGCTAAGGTTTTGGGGTTTGTGTTTCTCTCTGCTGTGTTAATTGTCAGGATTAGAATTGACTTTATCTTTGGGTTTCAGTATATGTGGAGCTGTGTTTTTTGGTTCATTTCTGATTCCTCAAGACCCATTGCCCTGGCTGACAAGTGATGACTGAATTTGGTGAATAGCATGACATTGATTTTGCTTAGGTTATTGTTTCTCAAACTTCTTGCACCTTTTACATCTTCTCTATGACCAAACCACTTCCTGAGTCCTCGTTCCTCAGTGTTATTGTTAATTCTTTAGAACTGCATTCAAAAAAGCCCTATTTGCATTACATACCTTGTGGTAAAAGTGATTAAGGTGCCATTACATGATTCCTGCATGTGAATGCATTTCAGTCCTACAATTACGCTGTTGTCTGAGATTCTGATATGAGCACAGGATGACCTTGTAGCTTTATGAGGAATAAATAAGGAAGTATAAGGAGACCTCCTGTACAGATAGTTCAAGTTACCTAGAGGAATCCTTCCTTCTGTAGATTTATTCTGTCTTTGTGTGGATATAGTCAACTGTTTATTAAAGTCTTGACTGTATTTATGTGCCATAAACATACAAGCATCCCTGTGCTTGCAGGGCTTAGGCAGTAACTGTGTTTTTTTCTTGCAGATCAAGACTGTGATGTTTGATAAAACTGGGACCATCACCTATGGCGTTCCTAAAGTCATGAGAGTGCTTTTGATGGGAGACACAGCTGTGCTCCCCCTGAAGAAGGTACTGGCGGTTGTTGGTACAGCAGAAGCCAGCAGTGAGCATCCTTTAGGAATGGCTGTCACTAAATACTGCAAAGAGGTACGTAGCCTTCCTATTTCATCCAGGGCCTGAAGGCACCTGTGAAAATGCAGCAATGTTGTATAAAATGGTCAGGTCCCAGAGGAAAAGGCCTGCCTAAAGAGTAACAGACTGGAAAGCTGGGAGATTGCATGGTTGTGCATCTTGGTCTGGACATTACCAGACAGTGTATTTATCTGAGCTGTGCTTTTCTGGTAACAATGTGGAATTCTGAAGAAAGATCTTGCTAAGTTTATCTTGAACTGATGAGAAAATAAGGAATATATGCAGGAGGAATATTTATACTTAAAATAACATCATGAAACAAATGTGTGTGATGACATTTCATATTATCTGACTATAGTCACTTCTATTAGTCACTTGCTCATCTGAATAAATTAGGCAAAAGGCTTTAAAACTTGAATATTAAGCTGTAATATTTGGGAGTTTCACAAACTAATTGATCAGTTACTCAAGTCTGCAAATTTTACATATCCTCAGTGGTCATTTATATATGTCATGTTCCTTAGTCTTCAGGAAGAAGTAAAACACAAATCACAGTGAAAATAGGAAGGCTATGTAAATAAACAATTTATGTCTGGTGAGAAAAATCATTAATTGATTTAGAGAAAAATATTTTTAAAAATATATAAAATTTGCTAGATCTTTCAGTGATAAAATTTAAAAGTAAAAACATTAATTTAGAAGGAAAAGAGAATATAAGCTACAAACCAATTGCCTTTCTTGTATTTTATATTTTTTATTTAAAATTTGTTAGTACTCTGACAGTTTTGTAGTCATCCCATGCAGCGGTTATTACTGGATCGTGGCTTATATGAGTTGTAATGCTATACTGTTGGCTGATGTTCTTACCACCTGCCTTGTCATCCATGTGTTTTAAGACACTGAGAGGTACATATAGTTCCAGCTTCTAGAGACAACACAGAAGAACTTATCTACAAATTAATATTTTCTTTTTTTTTTTTTTTTTTGGTATCTTTTAGGGTCCTGATAATCCCTTTATCTCATCTTGAAGGTACTCACTGGCTTCTCTCTGTAAATCAACAGAAAAGCCCAGTTTCCCTAACATCTAGACAGATCCCTCCAGGAATTAGAAACAGATTTTCACTGTACTCTTACATATATACAAAAACTGATCCACCACAGGCAGTTGTCTGTGAGGTTAATTAGAAGTTGCACAATTTGTAAGCTGCGTGGCTTATTGTTGAAATGTTTTTCTTTCATTCCTAGTCTTGGCTGAAGTCATGAACCACCAATCTAATTTTTTCATCCTTGAACTACAAGAAAAAGCTGTTCCTTGTAATTTGCTGTTGCTAGGGCTGAGACCTGGCTGTGATCTGTATGGCTGCCTCTTTCTAGAAGTCTAAGCCACAGCACACCCAGAGCATCCTTATGTTTAGGTCTGTGCTACTGATACTCCAGGCTAGTTTTCACTTGGTCAGTCATTGTCAAGGGGAGGAATAAGGCCTCTTTTTGGCAAGAGTTATCTAATATTTGTACCCCACGTGGGCAGCATAGATTGATGATGGCCTCTGGTTTCATCTTCAGGAGCTTGGCACTGAGAGGCTGGGATACTGCACTGACTTCCAGGCAGTCCCAGGCTGTGGTATCAGCTGCAAGGTCGGAGGAGTTGAGGCCATCCTTGGCATAGCTGAGGAAGGTCCCAATGAGCTGGATGCTAACAGGAGTGGGGTCAGCAGTGCTCCTCTGGGAGATAACAGAGTTATCACGCTCTTGGAATCACAAGGTAAGTGATTATCTGCCCCTGTGCTGCCCCTGTGCCAGCTGCAATGTGAGGGAGAATGAATCAACAGCACCAACCATCTGCCACACTATGTACAAGAGAAAGGTGGACATGAGGCAGAAGAAGGCAAAGAACAGGAGGGACAAAAATGTGCCTCAACAAAAATTGAAGCTCTCTCCACAGCCCTTCATCTCTCTCTGCGGTTCAGAAACTTAAATGAGAATTAAGTACAGTGATGGGTACTTGAAAATTCCATACAATACATAGACAATAAGGCATACCCAGCAGCTCTCCTTTTGGACAGAAGAATGGTCCAGCAGACAGAAAAGTTTGCCATTTAGCGTTATCTTCCCGTTTAGAGCAGTTACCTTTAACATATATTATCTTACTGCAACTTTTTACATCCTATCCTTTAGTTCCATAATTACTTGGACCTTTTGTTTCCTGTTCAATGAAACAAAATACCTCTCAATGCACATAACTGAAAAAAAAACCCAAACTCAAACCTATTCAGCAGATGCAAAATAGAGCATGCTATATCTGAAAACTTATTTTAGTGCCTGATGTTTTTGATTAGGCCAATAAATTCAGGTTTGTTTCAGAGTCTCTGGGTGCCACTTTGCTATTTTGTAGTGTAGGACAGAAAGAAAAGGTATTTAAAGCCTTTCTTAAGGAGCTCATCAGCTCTCTTCAGAAGGCTGTGGCACTCTTGACCTTTTTGAGAAAGCTATTAGAAGAATTAAATAGAATGAGAACTTCAATCATCAGAACTGTGCCATTTGTGAAAGGTGCTAATGTAATATTTTCTCACCTGCTTATGTGGTTCTTGTGAAGTTGGATTGAATTCATAATGAAGTGCATTGTTTGTTAGAACTACATTACTTTTTTCTTGTCAGAAATAGCTTTTATATTTGAAAGTCATTAGTTGTGAGAACAAAGCAGGATGGCATTTGCTAAATGTGCATACTGTGCTTTTCAGAGAAACAATGCCAGCTGACAAAGGCAAACATGAGCAAATGTTTCCATTAAGTCCATGACACAGTTTTGTCTGTAAAGAGGCACAGATTGAGTCTTGAAAGAGAAAACTTCTATCAGGCTGTCTTCAGGCAGTGCCTCTGCCTAACTTGTCTTCCTCAAACATCTCTGCTTGTATATACTGCTTTTGAGACGCTCGTTTTTCTTTTTGTCTGTGCACAAAGGTCCATCAACTTCTCAGAAATATTCGGTGTTGATCGGAAATCGTGAGTGGATGCGACGCAATGGCTTGAATATTGCAAACGATGTAAATGATGCAATGACAAACCATGAAATGAAAGGACAGACTGCCATACTAGTGGCTATAGATGGTAACTGCTCTTCCTTTGAGTGACTTAACAAATATGAGTCAATCCTACTGCAGAACAGATGAAAGCAATCTGAAGAAGCTGATCACTGGCTTAGTGTCAAGAAACAACTAATCTTTTAGTGCAGAACTGCTTGTGAACTGTGAAGTATCAAGGTGTTCTTAAAAGAAGCTTTTACCACAGAACAGTGCTTATAAGGTTTTGTTGTGTAGGTTTTAATTTAAGAATTAATTTCTGAACCTCCTTTTTGTCTAGGAGCATTGTTAAAGTGTGCAGTGCCAATATGATGCCATGTCCAATTCTTAATTTACATCAGTTAAGGATCATGGACCAACCTATCACATCACTGGTTTCAAAAGATGCAGTGAATAAAGATGGTGATTCATTAGATTGGTCAAGTATAACAGCTTAGACTAAATGAGTTCTGCTAGTGGGGTTGTATTCTGTACGATGCAGAAAGAGATCCCAGACAATACCTGTGATCCAACCAATCATTGTAATGGTGATAAATTGCCAGCACACCTGTGATTTTGAAATTATGCCAATGATTCATTTACTGAACACATATTCTTGGTGCTACCAGAGAGCAATTTTGAAAGGCATTTGCTTGTGAAGGAAGTATGGATGCACTTTTGAGCCAATGTACTGGAAGACAGATGCAAGACTTCTCAATGAAAGTAATTAATTCTAGTAGCTATCCAGCCCTGAAAGACTTGGGGACATAAAACCAGGCTCTATATACTTCCTCTTGGAGGAGTGGCTTTAACATCTGACCTGGGTACAAATACCAACACTTTCTCTAACCCACTATCATTTTTGTCCATACCATAAAATATAGAAGTCAGGTTTGTTTAAAAGCTACTCTCCTACTCGTCTTCCTGATCCCTAAATACCAAAGGTGTTTATTGTTTGATCTGAAACAGGCAAATTATGAGAAGATGAGATGGTAAGTGAGAAGGCTGCAGGCACGAGTGTCAATATTGCTCAGAATGTGTTATTTCACAAGCTGCCACAGTGTGATAGAGGGGGAGCTCTGTTCTCTTGCTGCCACTTTCCCTCCCACAGCTCTCTCTGACAGGATGTTTCTTATTTGTGCAGGTGTGTTGTGTGGAATGATCGCAATAGCAGACACAGTCAAGCAGGAGGCAGCCCTTGCTGTGCACACACTGCAGAGCATGGGAATAGATGTGGTGCTCATAACAGGGGACAACAGGAAAACTGCAAAAGCCATTGCTACTCAGGTATCTGCTTCTCTTTGTGTTTCAAAAAGATACATAATGAGGTTCTAGAACTCCTGTTTGCCCCAGTGAATTTGAAGCAACAGATTTGGTTTCCCTGGAATTGCAGTTTCCCTGGATATATTAAATAAAGACAAATTTTTCTTGAACTGGACTGAAAATCAGGCCAAGTCCTATGTCTTAGTAGAGGTCAGTGGCTGTATTAAGATCCCACTGTAGACATGCAGTCAGTACTTTTCCAGAGTAATGGAGTTTCTTGCAGTAACTTGTTGCTGCACTGAAGCCTCCTGTTTCCTTTTGCTAAAAGGCAGACCTGTTTGGTTAGTGATGAAAGAAAGTTCCTTGAAGATCCAGTCCTGGTCAGTTAGGGAATCCACAGTGTGGGTTTGTCATTGTCCTAGAGCGTAACATAACAATATGAATTATTGCCAAGAAGCATAGCAGTCTAAAGGAGGTTGTGTTTATATGAGATTTTTTCCCCATTGCAAACTATAAATGAAAAGTCAGATTCTCACTCTACCTTGCTATGCTTCCACCCTCTCAATCTTCCTTTCCCTCTTTCCCTTTGCATTGGTCTACTTCTAATCTTACCATGTGCCACTTTGCTTTCCTCAGGTATCCCACCACACAGCTGACTCAGCCAGCACTGTGGTATGCACGTTCTGTGCTCTGAGGTCTGTTTTGTTTCTCTGTGTGATGCTTTAATCCTCCTCCTATTGGCTTTCATACTTTTGCTTTTGTGTTCAGTTATGAAAAAGTGCTTTCCCACCCCATTTTCTTTGTCAAGGAAAAAAGTCTTTCAGAAACAAGCTTGAATTTAGGATTCCAGGAACAAAGATGAATGTTTTAAACAAGCTTAGTTTGTGTCAACCTACATTTTCATTGAATTTTTGGAACATACTGTCCAATGGAAAGAAATGGTAAACAGTTTAAAAACTGTTATAAAATGCTACTTTTTAAAAAGTTAAAAGAGAGCTTCTGTCTTATGTGGTGAAAAGCTGCTTCTGCCTGGTGAGGCAGCCAAACAGAGGGCATTATCCCAGCACTATTTAATATACTCATCTGTTTTTCAACTACAACACTGGAGCCATTGCTAGCAACTCGAAATAAGTTATGATGTGGATGGGTAGAATCATTTAGCCAGCCATCTGCTTTATTTTCATAATCTCCCTGAGACCTGCACATACTTGTTGTCTCTGTGTTTTCCCTGCTGTAACTGCTTGATCATACATGGTTCGTGTGTTGCATTATCTGCTTGAAGGCTCTGCAGAAGGATCTGGACAGGCTGGATTGATGGGCTGAGGCCAGTTGTGTGAGATTCAAAAGGGTGAAGGATCAAGTCCTGTGCTTGAGTCATAACAACCCCTGCAGAACTGCAGGCTGGGGGCAGAGTGGCTGAAAAGCTGCTCAGCAGAAAATGACCTGGGGGTGCTGCTTGACAGCAGCTGAACATGAGCCAGCACTGTGTCCAGGTGGCCAAGAAGGTCAATGGCATCCTGACCTGTATCAGCAACAGTGTGGTCAGCAGGACTAAGGGAAGTGTTAGAGTCACTACCCCTGAAGGTATTTAAAAGACAAATCTTTATTGCTGGGGCAGTGGAGCTCCAGAAGCCACGCAGGGCATGATTTGAAGGGCAGAGTATGGTTTGCCAGCATCTCTGCAGCAGGAGGGTGCTGTTATCAATCCTGTTCTTATGCCAAAGGCGTGTTGTTCTTCAGTTTTCTGTGTAGCTAGCAAGTGTTGTCTTCACCAGAATCAGTTTGGTTGCCTTCACCTAGAACAGCAAATGGCTCTTCCTTCCAGCATGAAGCATGTCACCAACAGGGTGTCTTTCTTTGTACATAGGTTGGGATCAAAAAAGTCTTTGCAGAGGTTCTTCCTTCTCACAAGGTTGCAAAGGTCCAGGAGCTCCAAAATGGAAAGAAGAAGGTTGCAATGGTTGGTGATGGAGTCAACGATTCTCCTGCACTAGCCAGGGCCGATGTTGGAATTGCAATTGGAACGGGCACTGATGTTGCCATTGAAGCTGCAGATGTTGTTCTTATCCGAGTGAGCACCACAGTTTTGGCCTGTCCTCTTTTATCACTGACACTCCTAATTTTGGTTTCGTTTTCTGAAGCCTGCATGTGGAAAACTTTCAGTGCTCTTCTGTCTTGCAGAATGATTTGCTGGACGTAGTTGCCAGTATTCACTTATCCAAGAGAACGGTTCGAAGAATACGAATAAATCTCATTCTTGCCTTAATTTATAATCTGCTTGGAATACCCATAGCAGCAGGTATGTGACTGCAAGAGCTCAGCTTGTCAAAGACAGCAGCACAGTTGATCTCTGTTGTGCCTCTTATAGGATTAATTACCTGCTCAAGAAATCAAAGAAAGGTTCCTAGATTATTTAAAACTTGGCAGAAGGAGAGTGAAACAAATACATTTGTTTTTCTCTTTGCTTGCCTCTTAGGAATAAATACTTCTAGATGAAATTAAAACTATTCTCTTACTTCATATAGCAGTGCTTGGGGATTAGTTCCTGTATATTCAAACCCAGCTCTAATCAGAATACCATCCTACTTTTGGGTGTTCCCTTTTTTATTTGCCCTGAATCACACATTTTCTCTCCTACTGCTTGTATTCTTCATGCCTCTGGCAGACATTTTCTCATGCTCTAAATCCCTACTTAAAACTTACTTCAGGTAAGTCCTTGTTTTGTTTATAAGTAACTTCTCCCTTCTTTTCCCATACTACTGCCATGTCTTTCTGTTGCCTTTGCTGTGTTTCATATGTGCAGAATGTCTGGAAGGGACAAATAGTCTTGCCCTGTGGCTGCAGCCTTGTACCGGTATTGGTGCAAAGGTCATCCCTTGCAATGGAAGGGACATGTTCAGTAATAAGTGAGTAAATACATGTATTGATGTAGTTGTGTTCCTGGAGGTCTCAGCAGGTTGTGTTGTAGAACTGCCGATCTGTTCTGTGACATGCAGGGGTGGAAATGCCCATGCTGGGATGAGTAGCTCTGGCTCATGTCCATATGGTTTTTTTGCTAGGTGTGTTCATGCCTGTCGGCCTTGTGCTTCAGCCTTGGATGGGATCAGCTGCAATGGCAGCTTCTTCTGTGTCTGTCCTGCTGTCTTCACTGCAGCTGAAATGGCAAGTTGTCTTGTGTTTATCAGCTGGGGAACTGTGGTAGTACTGAGGCTGACTCACTGTCTCAAGTGAGACACCCCTTTGGGCTTTCTACCTCTAAAAGTATGTGAAAGTCCATTAGCTTGGGGTTGTTCTGATCGCAATCTAATCCTTGGCTCCAAAACAGACAGATGTCGCTATTATGAATTTAGCTGGACTAAGACAGTATGCAGTATGCTTTAACTAGCAGCTAAAAGTGTGACTGGGTGTCACCTGGGCCCATGTGGGGGAGATCTAGTTCAATAACAAATAAAGTAATGGTCAGGAGGTTTTGCTGTGAATATCAAGTGAACAACTAGTTTGAAAGCTAATTCTCCAATTTAACAATAGATTTTTGAAAAAAATACTTGCACCTGTTTGCTTTTTATTTTTGTCTATTTGAATTAGCCAGAGAGAAACAGGGAAGCAATGTACCTCTCTTTTGCACCTTGCTGCAGATAAGGCATCTTTCTTTATTCTTTGGGAAGCAAACCAATTTCTGATCTACAACAAGATTTTTCAAGTCCTATTCATTTTAATGCTACATTTTTGGGTGCCTTTTCTGGCAGTTACAGTGGACCTGTTCTTAACAGCATAGAAAGCAAACGCCTTTCAAGAATAAGACTTTTTATGGTGTCTGAAATTGGTCCAAACTTTCACATATTTTTACTGTAGCTGGAGTCTTCTGTATGTTACGGTATATTACAGTACAGTATAGTATAAACTAATTTCCTAAATACAGGCAATCTGTCACTATATCATATTTCTAATCCTGAAAATGCTCAATGAGACCACAATATAAATACAAACAGCATACATACACACGTCTGTTTGCAGAATGAGCCCTGCTGCTAAAGGATTTTCATCCTAAAAGGTTTTATTAGTTATCCAAATGATGAGAATTTTCTAAAAAGGTATTCCTTAGTTCTCCATTTCTTTTGACCCTGTGCTGATGGCATTAAGTGTCACACACCATTTTGGATAGATATTGAGAACCCCCTAAAAATATTTGGCTTCAGACTTATGGAAGCTGTATTACAATATATTCTTTAGGACAATAATCCTTCTTGAACCTTCAGAAGAGGTGAATAGAACTTCAGGTTCCAAAGAACACAATAGTGAATATATATGTGAAGAAGACCACGCATACTTGTCATTGCTGGGATCTGACTTAGTATGCATTGAATCAGAAAGTGATTTTTGTATCATTGGGTCCATTTACCTGAAATTGTCTTCTATGAACCTTCTAATAATTCAGCAAACTCATAATTTTTGTTAAAGAACCTCACTTTGAGAGTCCTTCTCTTTTATTATTGAAATGTTTTAATGCCGTTGTGAGGAGTAGTCTTAACAATTTAACACTGTGCCTCAAGTGCATGGAGTCATACAATGACCTCGGTTGGAAAAGACCTTTTAAGAATATTGAGTCCAACCATTAACCTGGAAACAGCAAATCCACCACCAAACCATGTCCCTAAATGCAAATGAAGAGTGCTCAATCAGTGGTATGTGGTCTTGAATGACTGAAAATTCAGACCAGAAACATCTTGAGGAATGTTCTGCAAATCCCCCTCATCCTCCCTTATCCTTCAGTGCTTGTCTTGACTTGAGAGAATTGGCAGGCTCAAAATTCAAGCAGTAATAAAAATTATTATTCTGTAACTGATTCTTGAGACCCTTACATTCTTGGCACCACACATTTTAAATTAATTGTTTGGGAGCTATTAGATAGGAAATTTAATTTATACATATGTAATTAATCTATAAATTTATTTTTTCTATATAAACACTTTCAATACATTTAGGTTATCAGAAGTTTCTGATTTTTTCCAGATGCTTCTACACATTGACTTCTTGTTGTTAATATCTTTTCTCTTTCTCTTCTTAGTTACAAGAAGCCAGACACAGAAAGTTACGAAGCACAAGCCCAAGGCCGCATGAAGCCACTCACTCCTTCTCAAATCAGTGTTCACATTGGAATGGATGATAGGAGGAGGGATTCTTCCAAACCATCTCCTTGGGATCAGACAAGCCAAGTGTCCCTCTCTTCCTTGGCTTCAGACAGGCTGCCGAGACGCAATGGTTTCATTCAGGAGGAAGGGGGCAAGTGGTCCTTGCTCATAAATGGAGCAGATGAAGAACAGTACATCTGAAGCACTGGACTCTTAGTACAGGGGAAAATGTTCCTCCTCCCCAGTCAGGGGAGGGACTGATTTATTTCACCAACAGCTCCAGTGCTGTAAGTGAAGTATTCCTTCAGCTCATAAGACAATCACAGCTCAGCTCAGGGTTGGGTTGTACAGATTGTGGATTTTTTTTCAGGTCACCAGTTATTTCTAGTTATGGAAATAAATCTGTGCCACTATAATGAACTGGCTTGTTTGCACATGGCATTTACTGAAATAATGTAAAGTGGTAATTTTCAGACTCTAAAAGAGTTTCTCTGTGACCCTTTGCTAGGAGCCAAATTTCATACTTTTCACTCTTTTAAACTTTATTACTTCAAGACCACATGAAGCAAAAGTATTTTCAGAGCTGCCAAATATTAATTTGTGTCTAAATGAAATTAGCAATGGCATAAGGAACTCTGTGGTCAGAAGCTGAAGTTTTACACAGAATCCTAACTAGACACGCCACTGTGAGGATTTAGGATTCATGGCATCTCCTGGCACCAAAAATGCTTTGCTGTTTCACCTGCTATAACTCTCTGAAAGGTCTTTTTCAAAGATTTTCACTTGCTTTGTGGGATTGCGTCCTTTTGATGCACATTTCTACTGCTCTCTTTGATTTTCTCTTTTGCTCTATATGAGCCCTTTTACTCTTTTTCTTGCACGAGAGATCTTCAATGAGTTATTGTTATATTTACAGATATTCCTGTTTGGGACAAACTCATTTATGTCACCAGAAACCATTTCATTCCAATTGAAATCCATAAAGGCAGAACACTTCCTGGTCCCAGTTATCCAAGATACCTTGCTGGACCCCAGGGAGCTCCTTAGAACCGGGCAGTTTTCTGTCTCTTTCCTCTGACAGAGTGAAGAATTTATGCCAGTGTGAGCAAAGGTGGTATTTACCTTGGTATGACTGAGCAGAACTAGCACTGGTGTAACTCCAGCATAGCTGAACAGAGTTGAGATTATTGCATAACTTAACCCCAGCTTGCTACTTGCTTAAAATGCAGCTAACAATTTAAATTATAAAGGTGGAAAAATGGTCTTAAAGTGGGCTTCTATTTGCCATCATATGAATAAATGACAGGATCTAAACTAAGAAAATTTGTAATTTAAATTTGTATTTCTGTTTTGCATTGATTTTAGTTCCCCTCTTTACTTCAATGAGAAATCAAAGTACTGGACAGCTGTTTTTCTGCTTTAACATCTTTACCAAAGCTTGCAGTAACTTCATCTCTGTGTATGTCAGATCCACCCCTTAACACTTCTTAGAGTAAGGACAGTAGGAATCAACAGCTTTGGTGCTCTGGATCCAATTCCAGAGCACTGTGTTGTCCAGCTGTGGGACCCTGATGTAAGCAGAGCTTTATAGTCAAATTTAGAAACTGAAAGAAGAGGAAATACTTTGCTAAACAACATGAAATAACTACTTTTCATTGACTGAAATATAGAGCTGTTTCTAACACAGGTTCAAAACCTGCTTCTGCTATAGTAAAAATGAAAAACAAGTCAGAGAGGAAAAGAATTGCTCTTAAAGCATTGGATGGGTCTTCCTATTTTCTCAGCACTGTCTTAAATATAATTACAAATCAGTTTTAAAACTCTATATAAGTAGAGATTACTTTCACAGCACACACACTTTTCAAACATGCCAAAGGTGCATGTCCCTGTGGGAAAGAGCGTCTGAAGTTTTACTATTCTGTATTTTCTTACCAGTCCTTACAGTAAAAATATGCCTTTTTTTTTTTTTTAAATCAAACAAACGACTGTGTGTCTTTTTCTTTTTTTTTTTATTGGGGGGGTTCAGAATAAAAAGAGCGTAAACAGAGATTGTTGGATTGCAGGGTACATACGTACAAGGTCTTGTGACTGCTTTGTGATCTGTTTCAGGCAGGACAGATAGGAGGGAAAAGAGACAGTGTTGTTTCATGTTGAGACAGGTGAGGTTGTAAACATGTTAAAGGGTGGAAATAGGATTCCAAATCATCCTGGGGAATTGGATAGAACCAGAAAGCTTTGCAAACAGAATAGAGAAGAATTAAAGGCCAACGTAGCTGGAAAAGGTCAGGTAGTTGCCTGGCAGTCATTTTGGGACCCATTCTAACTACACAGTGATCCTGCAAAATGAAGAGAAACATAGAGAGCTATAAAGACTGCATCACCCATATGACAAAATACCTCATTCTGTTCTGCTCTGGAGAGGCACCAGCTGAAATAGCAGGTCTAGTTTTATATGTCATGCTTGTTAGGAAAAACCAGTTCAGAGAAGAGCAATGAGATTTTACAGAAATCTAGAAAACACGAGAATGTAAGTATATGAGAATGAGAAATAGAAGAATGATGGAGTTTGAGTAAGTTTGCCTACAGAATACCATAAGGAAATACAAGTCTCGAGACACAAAGAGAACAATTTATTCCTTTCATCTTTTCAGTGTCTTTTATGTTCATGGTGAATTGAACAAGAAAATAATAGGCTTATTTAACCAAAGAATATTTAGATTAGTCACTAGGGAGGAATTGTGTAACAGGAAAGATTGTGGAACACTGGAAGAGGTTTCAGATGGGGGCTTTTCACATGCACATGGCAATCAGGCACATATTTGGTGATAATGTGTTAGTCAGAGGTGAATCCTTCTGTGGGGCAGGCAGCTGCCCTACACCAGGCTCCTAACCTTCTCCCCAGATGGGCTTTCTCTTATTTCTGTGAAAGTAATATGAATCAAAAAAATTATTGGAGTAGGGGACTGATCACACTATCCTGCTCTCAAGAAGTGCTGAAGAACCTGACTTATTTCATACTTGAAATGAACTGGAAAAGGTTTGCTCATTATATTTTTATAATGTCTTAGGCTTTAAACGGCTGTGAAACTTGCGTAAATCATAGAATCATAGAAAGGTTTGGGTTGAAAGGATCATTATAATTCATCTAGTCCAACTCTCCTGCTATGGGCAGGGACTCCTTCCACTAGACTGGGTTGCTCAGAGCTGTGTCCAACCTGTCTTTGAACACTGCCAACTTCTCTTCTGGCATCCACAACTTCTCTGGGCAACCTGTGCCAGTGTCTCACCACCCTCACAGTAAAGAATTTCTTCCTAATATTTAATGTAAACCTACTCTCTGTCAGTTTAAAGCCATTCCCCCTTATCTAATCACTACATGTCCTTGTCAAAAGTTGCTCTCCAGCGCTCTCATAGCCTCCTTTAGGCACTGGAAGGTGCTCTAAAGTCTCCTTGGAGTCTTCTTGTCTCCAGGCTGAACAGCCCCAACTCTCTCAGCCTGTCTTTATGGGAGAGGTTGTCCAGCCCTCTGAGCAGCTTTATGCCCTTCTCTATAGCTGTTCCAGCAGGTCCATGTCCTTCTTATGTTGGGGGCCCCAGAGCTGGATGCAGGTGGGGTCTCAGACTGGAGCAGAGAGGCAGAATTCCCTTCACCCTGCTGGGCACACTGTGTTGGATGCAACCCAGGATATGATTGGCTTGCTGAGCTGCGAGCGCACATTGCTGGGTCATGTTAAACTTCTCGTCAACCAACACCCCAAAGGCAAAAATGTCTATGAGAAAGTTAGAATGGTTATACATAGTCAAGAAAAATAGATATAGGTGATAGTCCTAAAACTATCACTTGATTGTGTGCTCTTGCTAAACTTGAGCTCCTGATGTACATCCAGTCTCACTGGAGAGCTGCATGAGGTGGAGCTCAGAGTTTGCATTTCTGCATGCAGTGTAATTACAAACTGTCCTTGTTCCCACTGGGCCCACCTGCCTGCAGCCCCCAGCAGAGTGAGGTACTGGTCTGGGATTGCTGCCTGTGCTGGCCCTACAGCAAAAGAGCTGGAAGTAGGTACCTGAGAGAATGGAACTCATGGACTCCCTAAGCTTGGTGCCGGGGGTGCTCAGCAGTGTGCCAGACTTGTCCTCTTTCCTAGGCCTGAGTATTTTGATGGATTAGACAGTACAGGGCAACTTTTCAAATCCTGGTTTAGATCTTAGGTGTCTGCATGATGCACGTTCTCCCAGCACGACTCAGTTGCTGCCTATCTGATAATAAGTGTTGATACATCTGATGATTTACAGGGGACATCCAGTTATTTTGCTCTGGGAAAAATTTCTGAGTCTTTTGTTGTAACTTTTAAATTATTTTTTAATGAACACAGAAGACATCGACTGAAACAGATCTTTGACTTCCATGTTATTTTTAGTGCAATAGCTCAGGAATACTGTTGCCTGCTAAGTTCGTCAACTGTATTATAGTTTGTCATACAGTTTTTTGGTGCCCTAAGTTCACAGGAAAGAAATTATTCCATTTAATTTCCTCCTCCTTTCCCCTTTTATTCAAGCAAATAAGCTGTCGATTTCTATCTGAGCTGATTACAACCTTTCTCTGACTAAGTATTCATTCAACAATTATATTTTCTCTAAATGCACTTGTGTGTGAAGAAAAAGAATGAGTAGGTGGTGAAATTATACAATGGTGTGCAGGGACATGAAATCAGATAACACTGAAATGTCGGATTTAATTTCCTCCACTAAGATGCCAACAGCAAGCCTGTTGGTTTTCAGTGGGAAATTGTTTGAGAGTCACAACAAAAGAAGCGGTGAAGCACAAAACATCCTGCTCACATGTGAGTGTCAGACAGACATAGGCACAGGAGGGGACAGATTAACTCCTCTCCTTGCCTAAAGTTAAAAGCACCAAGGCTTTGCAGGCAAGTACAGCCCGCCCACAGGCTCTCCGTGCAATGATCTGATTTTCATGACTGATTTACCTTCGTGCTTAAAACGATGATTTCTGAAGGCTGCCCTGGTGCTGCAGGTGAAGGTGAAGAGGTGCGGCAGGGGTGTGCTGTTTTCCCCCCGGGGCATTCAGCCGCCCCAGGTGGAGGTGTGGAGGTGTGTCCCCAGGCGGGTTTGTGCTGGTCGGCGCTGAGCAGTTCTGCGCTCCGAGGGCATCGGGGTGAGGTTTGGGTCGGGGGCTATGCCACACAGCAGCCAGCACGTTACCTCGTGGGGGACCAGGAGATGTCACTGCAGGTCCAGTCCAAGCCACAGAAACCCCTTACTCTGCAAAGCATCTGAAGATGTGTTAACCAGCAAGGGGGAAATGTAAAGGGATAGTTAAATTCATATCTAACTAAAATTTTGGTCTGACAATACTATATAGCCCAGGAATAGATTTTAGGCTAATGTGTGTTTGCCT